ACACCTATCCTTTGCCTAGATAATTCACCTGAAAACTCAACTATTAACTTCCTCCGTGGAGGGTTCCCCACCAACCTCCCCATCACCAGTCTGATTTAAATGTCCATCCTTTGTGCTCTCTATTAGCACTTTCTACATGATGTTATAATCATTTCATTGCAAATTCCTGGAGAGTAATAATTATGTCTCTATGCCTATATCCCTGGGATCCCTTACCTAGTGATTGATAGAGAAGGTTCTTATTAGTGTTTGATGAATGAATGGCCTTCTCACTTTATCAGGGTTATAGTTTTAGATACATACCCACATGTCCTGCAACCCCCTAAAAAAACTCCTTGAATCTGATCAAGTCTCTAAATTAAACTACCAATTTATAGGAACTGTAGAAGGCTGGAGAATATGTTATATGATAATATCGGGATGGAGTCAGCAAAATCTAAATATGGGAAATTCCACAGAACAAATAGCTGAATTAATTTCTTTAATTGTAGTCAAGCGTTTATAATGTATTTAGATCCTGATTTTTTTTAAAGATTTATTTATTTTTGTATACAGAACTGGGGTACAGGCCAGAAGTTCAGGGACGGTGAGAAGATTCACCAGAGACAGAATGGGTAGCAGAACAGGTTGACTGACGAAGTACACTGCTGAGGGGAGCAATCTGCGGGTAAGGAGAGGCCTGCTGCACCACATGGATCATCTCCGGGGCAGGATAGAACTCATGCTGAAGTGGCTTTAGCTTCTTAGTGCTGTGCTTTAACCCAATGCGCCACCAGGGAGGGCCCAGATCCTGATTTTTTTAACTGAAAAAAAATTGTGACTGAGAAATATAAACACTGTGTTTAATATTAAGGAATTATTGTTAATTTTTTTAGATATGATAGTGGTACTGTGCTTTTTTTTAAAAAGTCTTTATATCTAGAAATATATTTTGACATATTTGTAGGTGAAATGATATAATATCTTTGATTTTTATTGAACTTATCTGAAAGGGAAAAGTGGATGGGAATATAGATAAAATTGTGTAACAGGGCATGGGAGAAGGGCACCCCAGAGCCCCAAAACCTGCCCATTCAGAATAGTTTTGCTATCTGCCACATGAAGACAAAATATACCCTAGTGTGTAACACCTTCAGTGAAAAAAAACTTTACTACAGTTAGTGTGTAGTACAGAAAGGGAAAAAATAATTTCCAAATTAAGCACCCAAAGTTACCCGTCCTCTCATGGGTCAGTGTCCAGCCAAACAGGATTGGCCTAAGAGCAGGGCCACTGAGACCCAAAAGCCTGTTTTTTACTAATGAATATCCACTTTTTCCACATTTTTAAAAGGCTGTTTTTCCTTGACATATTTGTATAAGTCTATTTCTGGGTTTCTTTTCTGTTCTGTTGATTTATATGTCTGTCTTCCAGCAATATTACACAATTTATTTATTTATTTTCAAAGATTCATTTATTTATGCTTAGAAGAACTGAGGCCAGAGGTAAGGGGGTGGGTGAGAGGATTCATCATGGACAGAATAGGGAGCAAAATAGGCAGACAGAAGTACACTGCTAAGGGGAGCAGTGGATGAGATAGGAGAGGTCTGCCATGCCATATGGGTCTCCTCCCTGTCCAGGGATCGAACTCATGTGGATACCTTCATAGTGCTGTACTTTAACCCCTTGCACCACCAGTTAGGTCCCCAATACCACACAATTTAGATAAATGTAGCCTTATAGCAAGACTTAAATGAAATAGGTTGATTTGTCCTACTTTATTCTTTTTCAAAATTAGTTATTCTTCTTCCTTTGCTTCTGTTTTGAAGTTTAGAATAGTTTGTATATATCTACAAAAATTATTGATGGAATTTTGATAGGAATTACAATAAGCCTTTATGTCGATTTGAACAGAATTGGCATCTTCACTATATTGAGTCTTTCAATTCATGGACCTGGGTGGTTGTACTGGATTTTCTGTACATTTTTTAATTTACTTTCTGTCTAGTTCTTCTCCCAGTTATTGAAAGAGGAGTATTAATATCTGCAACAATAATTGTGGGTTGCTCTGTTACTCTTTACAATTCTGTCACATGCTTTAGAGCTCTGGTGTATACACAGTTGGAATTTATATGTTTTCCTGGTAGAGTGGCCCTTTTATCAATATATAATGTCCCTCTGAGTCCTTTTTTTATTGTTGTTGTTTTGTTTTTGTTATATAGTCTACTTCATTTAATATTAGTGTAGCCATTCTGGCTTTTCTTTTGTGATTATTTGCATGACAACTTTTCCAGCCTTTTACTTTCTGTCAGACCATACTGTTATATTTGAAGTGAGTTTCTTTTAGGCAGTATATAGTTTTATTTCACTCTACCAAATGCTATCTTTTTCTTGACATATTAAAATTGTTTTTGATTATATCATATGGCATTAATAGTTGCTCTAGGTATTAGGCATGATTTCAGCCTGCTGGTGTCAACATTGTAATATGTTTTCTGCCCTGTTTGATGTCTCTCCCCTGGTTCTTTGGCTAGAGAGAACAGGCTGTTGGAATTTTTTTTCTTTTTTTGGTCTGAACCCATTGATTGGCGTTTTTCAAGTTACTTGCTAACTTCTTTTTCAACTCTAGGGTGTATGAGGCAAATAGAAAATCTGAGGAACTCACATACATGCCAGTCCTCATCTCACAAAGTCCCTATTTGGTCTCTTTCTCTTCCAAAGTTTTCTTGTGTTTGTTTTCTATATAACAGCTAGGGTTTTAAATTGTACTTATTGGGAGAGATAGGGGAAAGTGGCAGTACTTCCCTGTTTTATTTTTGATCTAACAAAGGATTAAGGTGGACTTTCTTTTTCTGAATATACCTGTGAATGACCCAGCCCGGTGGATTCAGCCTTGGAATTTTCGCCAGGAAATAGGCTTATAGCAAGTCTGCATTAAGTTTGAGACCAAGGTCCTTATTCTGTACACTCATCTTTCTTTCCTTTATCCTATTTTGTTTGTTTTCAGAGAACTGCTGATAATGGGGCTTCTAAGCCACAAGATGGTGCCCCAGAGTAGTTCAAGCTAAGCCCTATTCTGCTCTTTGTCAACCCCTTTAACTTATTCATAATTGCAAGACCATTTACTAAACTAGGATATAACTGTGAACACCTAATTATGTTTTCCTTTAGTCTGTATCTTCCTAGCTGCATGGAAACTTAAGTAATTAGAATCAAACATATGGTTCTGATATGTAAATCTTTACAGTAACTGTGGGAACATGGAAATTTTAAAAAGTAATTGTCATTCTGCTTACTGAGTTCAGTTACCATCTGGTATTCTGTCCTAATTTCAAACAATTCCTAGTGTCAACGTAGCTTTAAGAAAGAAATGCTGAAAACTTTTCTTCCTGTCTCTGAATATGCAGGTGCTTCTCTTTTTCCTTTTCCTAATAAACTTGTCCTTTTAAAATTGAAAAAAAAAAACAGAAAGGAATACTATTGTGCATTCTTAAGGAATGTTTTTTGAAGTATTTGAATGCGTGAACCAAATGTTCTTAGTGTACATGTTTGCCTAACTTGTAAAATAATAACATATAAAAATATAATAAAATGCATGCATTGCCATGCATGGAAGGATGGTAAGCACATGTTACCACTTGCATGTAAATACTCTGAATAGTGAAATATTCTTGTTCTTTCTTCTAACTTATATTTTCAAGTTTTCAATAATCATCTGCTTTAAGGATGGATAAAAATAGAAGTTTGGCAGATTCTTCACCTAATCAGAAGATATTTACTAACCACCCAACATATGTGGAGTATGTTTTCCTAGGCTTGATGAGAAAACTAGTAAGCACTCTCACTAAAGATGGCACTCTTTCGAATGTCATTGAAAAATTTGATGTATGCTACCCACCATGTGCCTTATACATAGGGAGGTCCAGAGAAAAAACTGTTGTTTGAACACAGGTGCCATTATTCCATTATTCTAACTCTGAGGGAAGATATATTATTGTTTCGCTAAGTTTTAGATTTTGAGTAATCACACAGGTCTTGATAGAATTCTGCTTGATTATTAGTTCACATTTATTGGGCCAGTTGAGTTCATTCTATATCGTAATTCTACTACTAATCATTGGGGTTAATATAACTAATGGCTGCCACCTAAAGCAATAAGATTTGTATAGTAATGAAAGTAGGATGAAAACAAAAAAGAAAGCAGTATCAATCCAAAGCATGAAACAGTGGTATTAAAAATTTAGCCCTTGGGGCCTCCCTGGTGGTATAGTGGGTGAAAGCACAGCACTAGGAAGCTAAAGTCACTTCCGCATGAGTTCAATCCCCAGCCCCAGAGGTGATCCACATGGTGCAGCAGACCTCTCCTGACCCACCTGCTGCTCCCCTCAGCAGTGTACTTTGTCAGTCAACCTGTTCTGCTCCCCATTCTGTCTCTGGTGAGTCCTCTCACCACTCCTGCACCTCTGGCCTATACCCCAGTTCTGTATGCATAAATAAATACATCTTTAACAACAATAAATTTAGCTCTTGAAGACCTCCATGGTTGTGTAAGGGGTTAATTCTCAGCACTATGAAGCTATTGCTGGCCACTGTAGTAAGAGTTCAATCACCCACATGGCGTGGCAGGCCTCTCCTGTCTCTCCTACTGCTCTCCTTAGTATTTTACTTCAGTAGATCTGCCTAGTCTGCTCCCCACTCTGTCTCTGGTGAATCCTTATACCCCCTACATCTCTGGCCTACACCCTAGCTCTTATATACTAAGTAAATGAATTTTTTTTTAAAAATTAGCCCTTGCTGATTCAGGATTAGATTTTCAGAGAGCCTATACTTGTATTAGACTTAACAGGTGCTAAAGCAATTTGATAACCAACCAACACTATATAAAAAAATGGAATTTTATTGGTTAAGTAATTTAAAATGATTTTTAAATGATATTTTCAATGAAAACTTATACAGAATATCAACATAAATATACAAAAGCTGAGCTGTTTTTGTTGAAACAGGCTGACTTTGTGTTTTCTAGCTCTTGAATGTAGTCTCTCAACTAGCCAAGAAGAATCTGCGACTCCTGGTCCTGGGTCGGAAACACATGCTACAGCAGAGTTTCCGGTGGAGAAAGGATGAAATGGAAAAGGTACAGAAGCAAGCCAGCTGTTTCTTTGCGGACAACATGTAAGTATTGAATTGGTAATAGGTAAATTACACTAGGCCCCAAGAATCTGCTTGGAGTTACCTATTTTCACTGTTTTGAAAATGTATGTTTGTGTTTGTGTATATTCATATATATTTTTTTTCTAAAAAGAAAAGATTTAAGGCAGGTTACAAATACAATTTCTATAGAAAAAAGAGGGAGAAAGTCAAGTCAGAAATGAAGTTAATACATAAAATGCATTCTATAAGATCCTAAACAGATGGTTAAACAAGTATTTTACAAATTTGAGCACCTTCTATATTCTTAACATACCAGTGAACAACACCAAGCTCTTGCCCAGTTGGAACTTAGAAGAACAGACAAACAAATAAGCCGGTAGTGTATTACCAGACAGTGATCAATGTTATATAGACATTAAAGCAGATAGGAAGGAATTGTAGGAGGTTGGTTAGAAGGTAGTGTGTGGAGTAGTCAGGAAATGCCTTTAGGAAGGGACAGACGTTAAGGGAAGAAGTCAGTCATTTGAGAAAGGGGAAGAAATGGGAGGAAGAACATACCAGGAAGAGGGAACATCAAGCTTTCAAAAGCCTTGAGGCAGCAAAGAGCTTGGCATGTTGGAAAAGCACATGGCCAGTATATATAGGCTGTAGCAGCAAGAGGAAAAGGAGAAAGTTCTGAGGCCACAGAAGGCAAAGACCACATTACAGAGCACTTTGTGGGCTCTGGTAGGCAAGCACGAGACCTGGGTTTTATTCTAAATGTAAAGGGATGTCTGCTTTGAACTACAACCTACCAGAAAGTCAAAGGGACTTTGACAAAATGGGCCAGTAACAAAATGAACTATGTCCATAAAGAGGGAAGCAGCTAAAAGGGAGAAACACAGGTATTCACAGCAAACATAAACTATTGACAAGCATTATTTTTCATACTACTTGCTGAGAAAATTTCTTTCAAGTCTGTATTTCACTAAGTTGAATGTGATAACTTCAAGATCTGTTAGTATCCTCCAAGTTATTCTTAAGCTAAAATAGTTCTAAATAATGTAACAGTGATAACTCCTCATTCACATCCCAAACACAAGCCTGTACTTTGTTCACTGAGTTCTTTTATTTATTATGGGAGTCATTACTTTCACCTCATAAATGTTCTTAACACAGTCACTCTAGGTAACATTGTATTGACACTAGGAGCGCAGCCTTGGAATTAGCCTGTCCAGGTTCCAGTCATGGCCCTATCACTTCTTATCTGGACGATGTTTCTCTTTCTGTGTCTTCTTTTCTTGCTATGTAACTCTAAAGGGGTTATTGTGAAGATCAAATGAGAGAGTATGTGTAAATAATACATGTAAAAGCCTTGGCACAGCACTAAGCACATGGACAGTGTATATGTCATTTGCTAGCATCACTATTATTAATTTTCTCTAAAGAAAGAATCGGAAAAACAAAGTGTTATGACCAAGAAGCCTGTAGGAAATTGGCCTCACAATCTTATTGTAAAGATTGATTCAGTGGCCTTTTCTAGCTTTGGATTTGAATACTTAAATTTCTAAAATATATTTATATTTTACATCATTCTTCATTTTTGTACAATGTATGCATTCTCCTCAAATATTTAGATTTTTAATATTGACTCTATTTTCATTAATACATTCAACATACATTCAATAGTGTAATGAGTCCCCACAAAACTATTACTTAGCTCTAACAATTACCATCATTTGCTAATCTTGCTCATATGATCCACATTCATATTGTTTCTTTTTGCTTTTCCACTTTCCTAGAGATTTTTTTTATAATAGTTTATTTTTACATCATTTTGTGCCTTTTTCCATTTCAGCTGCAATCCCTATGGGATTCCTATCACCAATTCACCCATGTGCCATCACCATAGTCTTGTGCACTCCCCCCCCCCACATTTTTTATCTTATTCCCCACTCCACTCCCCACCATAAAATATACATCATACACCATACTCTCTGGTGTATAGTTGTTCATTATTATTTTTTCCCCCTGGTCCTTTATGCTCCTGCTATGAGTGAAACCATCCGGTATTTTTCTTTTTCTTTCTGGCTTATTTCACTAAACATGACCCCTTCCAGCTCCATCCATGTTGCTGCAAAAGGCATGGGTTTATCTTTTTTGATTGCTGAGTAATATTCCTTGTGTATATGTACCACATCTTTTTAATTCAGTCATCTACTTTTGGGCATTTGGGTTGATTCCATGCCTTTCCTTTTGTAAATAAAGCAGCAATAAACATAGGAGTAGCAATAAACATGGGAGTACAGGTGTCTTTTTGAATCAGTGTTTTTGTGTCTTTTGGGTAGATACCTGGGAGTGGGATTGCTGGGTCGTAGGGAAGCTCCATGTTAAGCAGTTTGAGGAACCTCCAAACAGTTTTCCATTGTGGTTGTACTAGTTTGCCTTCCTACCAGCAGTATAGGAGAATTCCTTTTTTTCCACATCCTCGCCAACATTTGTTGTTGCTAGTTGTTTGAAGATGTGCCATTCTCACTGGTATGAGGTTTTAATTTGTGGTTTTAATTTGCATCTCCTGTATTACAAGTGATGTTGAACATTTTTTCATATGCTTGTTGGCCATCTGCATTTCCTCTTTGAAGAGAAGTGTCTTTTTAGCTCTTCTGCCCATTTTTTGATGGGGTTGTTTATTTTTGTTCCTGGAGATTTTTAATTTTTACTAATTGTCATTTTATTATTTCTCTTTAAAGATATCAGGGTAAGGTAAATTATTTTTTTAAAGATTTATGAGTACCTGGGGTACAGGCCAAAAGTGCAGGGGATGAGAGGGTTCACCAGAAACAGAGTGGGGAACAAAATAGGCAAATTAACAAAGTACACTGCTGAGAGGAGTGAGGTCTGCTGTGCCTGTGGATCACCTCCCTGATTGGGGATTGTTCTCATGCTGCAGTGGCTGTGGATAGCTTCAAAGTGCTGCACTTTCATCAGTTGTGCCACCAGGGAGGGCCCATAAGATGAATTTTAAATGGTCCTACATTTAAACTGTCAGAGTACCAAGCATTAGCATTCCCCTCTCCTTAGCTTTCCATCTGTGACCTACAGTGTTGCCTGCTGGCTAAGGTCTTGCATTGCTTCACAAATATCACTGAGATCATGTCAGTTCAGAAGGCAGAGCACCTTTAAGGAAAGTAAAGCAAAAAATAAAAAGCAGGTAAAGCATGCTACCCTCTGTTTTCTTGGAAATGTGCTTTGATTGTGTCCTTGCTTATGCTTGTCAGCTCGGAGGATGATCCTTTTCTTCTGTATGCCACACTGCACTCCGGGAACCACTGCAAGTTTGTCACAAAGGATCTGATGCGGGACCACAAGGCCTGTCTGCCTGATTCCAGGACTCAACGCCTGTTCTTTAAGTGGCAGCAGGGACATCAGCTGGCAATTTTTAATGTATTTCCAGGATCAAAAATAATTTTTCAGGTATGTTAGCTGTTTTTTACATAGTATCAACATAGCCAGGTATATAGTAGGAATCTGGCATAGTCCAAGGATGTCTCAAACTAGTTGAAGATTCTAAATGCTTAATTTTTCTCAGCTTTAGTGTGGTGTTTGCAAATAGCCAGAAATAGAAAGTTTGCCAGACCAAACGTTTTGATAAGCCACCCTCATATTTATTTACCTATTGAAAATACCTGGAATATCATCAATTTGTGACTTCAATTGTATCATCAAATTGTAGCGCCTCATACATTGTACTTTTGATTTTTTTATTCCTACTTATATACAATAGCTCAAACTCCCTTCCCCCTTCTAGTTTGTCAGAGTTCTGCTTCTGCTAAGTAACTACTTTTTCCTTTAAACCACTTCCATTGTATGAGGTCAGTTATTGATCTCAGCTTTGATTCTCCTATAAATACAAGGTTGTTACATCATGTGTCAGAACAAAGGGAGAAAATTGAAAGGCAAGTTATTACAGGAAAATACAGTAATGAATGATAAGTATGGCCCCATGATCCAAAAAACCAACAGATTTATAGCATATTACTGTATCAAGGGATAGAACAGAGATGCAATCAGCAAAATGAAGACCATGCTTTCTTCAACAACAACAACAACAAAATGCTAAGAAAATTAGAGATTCAAAGAGAGACATTAAGAATTAAGAGCTAATTCAGTTAGTTATAGTGTAATAACCATTTTTCAATTCTTATTTGAACAAACTATAAAATATATGAATATAACTACAGCAGTTATGAAAATGTAAACAAAAATTTGATAATGTTAAGAATTTATTCTTAGGTGTAATATAAAACTGATAGTATACTACAAAATAGCTCCTTATCTTTTAGAGATATATACTGAATTTTACAGAAGAAATGATGATATAGCATCTGACATTTGCTTCAAAATAATCTGGAGGGGTGGGGCTGAGGAAAGAAAGTGGGTGCTGTGTATATGAAGTAGTACTATGAGTTGATAATGGTTAAAGCTGGGTGATGAATAGGCACTGGTCAAAGTAGCAAAAGAAATATTGTAGCCTCTAAATGCATTGCTCCTATAGAGACTTCTTAACTTTAAAAATGAAATCCCCGAAAGGCAGTTCAGTGCTAGGGCTCATTTTTACAGTGCTAATTCACTTTTAAATCTGTTGCTGAGAATGACAGGGAATACTCCTCCGAAGCAAACTGAGAAATTGTCAGAAAAGAAAGGAAAATGCCAGGTAACCCTTTAGTGTTGTTCTCATTGTTGGTTTCCTTTTAATTCAACAGCCTATTCTCAACTATGACACAGTGGTGCAAACAACTGGAGACTCGTGGCACATACCATATGATGAAGACCTGGTGGAAAGATATTCCTGTGAGGTGCCAAACAAATGGCTTTGCCTTCACAGAAAGACATAAAAACTCTCACCCCATGTTAAGTATGGTAGGGGTTTTCTTTCTGGTTGGCATTAGAGCATTACTTCTGTCCTATTTGATCTGGTCGGTTTGTATGTCAATAAATTGACTTTAAAGTTGCATTTTACCCCCTAACATTTTTTGTTTGTTTGTTTTGGAGGCATCTTCAAGTTGGGGAAGTCAGTACATAGTAAAACCTACATAATGTCTTCTACTCATACTAAATCATTTATGGTACTCTGATAACCTGGCCAAGATATCTAAAGCTAATGAGCAACTCATCACCAATGATTTGGATTGAAGGAAAGGAAGTAATTCTCTCCTTTTCGACCATAATTTTCCCTTCACTCTATAATACCTTTTCCCGGTTAGCTTACCATTTGCAAGCACTATTAACTCCATCACTCAGAATGACAGCTTTCTAAAATATCCATTTTTATTTAATCAAGTTTGACCTTAACAAAGTGATAAAGTTTCTCTATTTTACCAACTTGCTAGCCAGCTTGCACATTACAAGGTCTTCATTTTAGGTGAAAATATTTATGCAAGCAACAACTTATGGCAGTCCTTTCTTCGCTCTTATATATAGTGTGACTTAATATTCAAGAATCAGCAAAGCCAATCTGTGGTAATAAAAGTCAGAATAATTACCTGAGGAAAGGGACACAAGAGAACATTCTAGGGATCATAAAGTTCTATATGTTAATCTGGGTGAAACTAACAAAGATTTGTGTATATGTTAGTAAAATTTCATCACACTAAACACTTAAAAATTAATGTATTTACAAGTGTACCAAAAAAATTATGTTAGCATAAAAAAAGTTATTTACTTAAAAAAAAAAAAACATGGCATGGCAGGGTGTGTAGTGTACACAGAGAGACTATCCAGGAAACATAGAGGACAGGATGTTCTATTGATATTTCCTTTTCTATTTATTTGATTTAGCAATGCTGCAGGCCTAAATGAAACAGCACTCCAAGCAATTGAAGGCATTGAAAGATGCTGAGAATCAGAAGGCTCTCATCAATCCAATCTGCCTAGTTTTTAATTGTCATAACTGATATATTTAGTAAACTGCTTTCAGGCATCTAAACTTTTTTTTAGGGAACTACCCTAATTTAAAGAAAAAATATTTTTTTATGATTTTTTAAAATTGTATTTATTTGTACAAAAAAGAACTGGGGTGTAGACCAGAGGTGCAGAGAGTGAGAGGGTCACCAAAACCAGAGACAGAGCGGAGAGCAAAGCAGGCAGATCTACAGAAAATCCCTGCTAAGGGGAACAGTGGGCAAAACAAGAGAGGTCTGCTACACCTTGTGCATTTGCTTCTTAGCCAAGCATCAACTTCAGACCTTTGTGGTGGTAACACTGAAACTTAACCAGTAGACCAATGGGGAGACCCCAAAGAAAAAAGATTTTTAGAAAAAAAAAGAGAGAGAGAGTGATGGGAAGTATTTATTAAGGAAGCTTGTGTGAAGACTAATACAAGTGTTCCTCACAATTGTTCATGAAGATGAAGGCGAATGAATACAAATCGCCTTTAGAACTTAAAAGCAGGAGTGAACCTTGAAGAATATAAAGTCCAGCAGGAGAAATAAGACCCAGAAAAATGAAATGGCTTCCCTGGGTCTCACAGCTAAGTAGTAGAGGCATTTCAACCATAACCCATTTCCTCTAATTCCAACCAAGGAAAGTTTTACTTTCTGCTATACAATGTGATTTAGACTAGAGTAGGTCATAAAAATCCAAGCCTCAGTGGTAGCATCTAGTGCTTAAACTTAGAAACTTTGTTAGCTACATAAGAGAAAAGTGGGGCCTCCCACTTTAAGTCTCAGCTCTATGAAGTGATCAGCAGCCACTGCAGCATGAGTTTGATCCCTGGCCAGAGAGCTGACCCACACAGGGTGCAGCAGACCTCTCCTGTCTTCCTGCTGCTTCCCTCAGCAGTGTTTTTCAGTAGATTTCGCCTGTTCTGCTCCCCACTTTGTCCTTTGTCCTCTCACCCCCTTACATTTCTGGCCTACACCCCAGCTTTGTATGTATAAATGAATAAAATGAATCTTTTTAAAATTATATATATACATATATATATTTTTTAACATCATTCTTTATTTTGTACATTTTTTCACCTCAGTGTAATCCCCATGGACTTCCTACCATCAATTCACCCATATACCATCACCATAGCCCTATGTGCTTTTCCCACCCTAAAATATATCTTAAGAAAATGAGAAAAGTGGAAGGATCAGGCAAGGAAAGAGTGCCTCTTTAGTGTCCCACATTTCCAGAATGGATCATCAGTGTAAAATATTGTGATAGGAAAATTACATTATTTTTGAGCCCTATAATACCATTCAAAATCAAAATCTTTCATCTTATACACCTTTGGGTAATAACACATCCCGTGAGCCTACATGTAAGTATAGGTGTTCCCTGTAAGTGTTCACCTGTATGTGCTGTGGATGCATCACGTGAACCTGCATGTGACATTGCTCACATGTGTGGCACATACTATGTGCCAGGCATTCTTTCTACTAGTTTACTCATTATCTGAAGTCCCAGCAACCCTTGAGTTAGCATTAACATTACCCTCATTTTTAGATAAGAAAAGGAAGGATGCCCTCCCTGTGGCACAACAGGTTAGGATGCAGCACTTGCAAGCTGGTGGCAGCCACATCAGTGAGAGGTCGATCCCTGGCCCGGAAGTGATCCACATGGTGCAGCAGACTTCTCCTGACCCACCCACTGCTCCCCTCAGCAGTGTACTTTGTCGATCTGCCTGTTCTGCTCCCCCCTCTGTCTCTGGTGAAGCCTCTCACCGCCCTTGCACCTCTGGCTTCTACCCCATTTCTGTATGAATGAATAAATAAATCTTTTTAAAAAAAAAAGAAAGAAAGAAAAGGGAGGAATTGAGAGACTTAACCAAGTGTCCAAGTGGTATTTGAAACTGAGCTGTCTCTTTCCAAATTCCTGCCTGTAACTCAATTAGTAGCTATTCAACTAGCTAATTGTAAGTATATTCCCATGGGAGTGTGAACCAAAATCAGACATAATCATACAAAAAGTATATGTAATTTTCATGGTTATAAAGGAGTAAACTACCATAGAAAACTGGGGGGGGAGGAAATCCTAATTCCTGTTTGAAGTAAAGTGCGGTTTACCTGATTTCTGCTTTGCTCAGGAGTAGGCGACTTCTAGAACTGCTCAGAGTACATCACACTGGACCCTGGGGAGTACTGGGATTCTCTGAAAGCAGGGACCTGATAACAACCACTCAGGCTGCCCATTTGTATTCAGACCACTGGAGTGAAACATAAACTACCTGTCAAACAAGGTCCCAGACAATGTGGGAAGAAGGAATTCTGCTCTGGGATTGACAGTGTATAAAGTCATCCATCATCAGTGAAGGCTTTGAAGGCATTGACTCTGCCACTGAAAGATATTTCTAAAGTGTTTTGTGCTTCCTTCCCTCTGGCATACTCTGAAATTTGCCCTATCTTTCACCCTGCTGTTCTCAGATCCACTAAAAGAAAATCTCAAGGAGAAGCCTGAGTTCATTCTCTCAGTTCTCCATCGGGACTACCTCACCTCAGGTGCCTTATTCTTCACATTAATTTTCTCAAATTTGCACTGAAATGTTATTACTGTTTTCTGGGTCTTCTAGCAGGTTTCTCATTTTTAAAAAGGGAGTACTCCTTTTCACGAAGATGGCGCCGAAGGCAAAGAAGGAAGCCCCCGCCCCTCCCAAAGCCGAGGCCAAGGCAAAAGCGTTGAAGGCCAAGAAAGCAGTGTTGAAAGGCGTCCACAGCCATAAGAAAAAGAAGATCCGCACTTCACCCACATTTCGGAGGCCCAAGACACTGCGACTCCGAAGGCAACCCAAATACCCGCGGAAGAGCGCTCCCAGGAGAAACAAGCCTGACCATTATGCCATCATCAAGTTCCCATTATGCCATCACTGACTCAGCGATGAAAAAAATAGAAGACAACAACACACTTGTGTTCATTGTGGATGTCAAGGCCAACAAGCACCAGATTAAACAGGCTGTGAAGAAGCTCTCTATGACATTGATGTGGCCAACGTCAATACCCTGATCCGACCTGATGGAGAGAAGAAGGCTTATGTCCAACTGGCTCCTGACTATGATGCTTTGGATATTGCCAACAAAATTGGGATCATCTAAACTGACTCCAGCTGGCTAATTCTAAATACAGTTTTTTCACCATAAAAAAAAAAGGGAGTACTAAAGTACTATAAAGTGCATCCTGTTGTAAAAATGAAAAGCGTGCATCAATGTAGGCACCTAAATTTTGCACAATTGTGGTGAATCTTCATTTGGTAACAATCAAAATTATTAGGGTAGTGAGGGCAAAGCTGAATGGAGTGCAGATGTGGTATTTTGCCCATCTTTCCAGTGAAAAATAATTTAAGTAGGGAGGACTAGGAGTATAGGAACATAGGCCACTGCAATGAAATGCTGATTTTTAGATTTGGGTTTTCTTTCAGGACAAGGATGAAAGCAGATAAGAGTTCTCAGTAGAGGGACCAGGCAGTTGCAGGAGTCTCCTGTAGAGCACAGGGGTGAGAGTAGGCTTGTCACAGCAAAGACAGAACTAGGACTCCCAGTTAAATTTGGATTTCAGATAAATAATAGTATTTTAATATCGTATAAATTGTCCCAAGTATTATAAAGACATAATAAGAATATTCATTGTCTATTTGCAATTCAGATTTAACAGGGCATCCTGTGTTTTTATTTGCTACATCTGGCATCCCTAGGAAGGAATTACATAGCATGCTGAGGGGTTGTGGGAAATGAGGCATCCAAATAGTCTGGAAGCACTGCTGGAGGTAGGAGGAAAACAAGGATAAGAAAGGTAGTAAATAAAAGTCACCTGGGAGGGGAAAGAAAGATGAGCTTTACCCTGCCGAGATCAGCCAGTGACTCACCTTGAGTCTTTGTTACTTAGTGGAGGAAGTTCCTGACTTATCTCCTAAGCCTTAAGAAGAGTGGGATGGAAAAAAAAATGCAAAAGACAGCTTATAAGAGGTGGGAACTGTGATGAATAAATGTAGTAAGTCTTGAGAGATAATCTTTAACTTTTCTCCTCTAATGTCTATTTTAATGGGTTTCAAGATTTCCTTTTGTCCCCCCAAGTGTGTTCATTGTTTACAA